CCAGATCCACCCAAGCCCGGCTACAACCAGCGCTTAGGCACCTCGGCTCCAACCGAGTAGAAATAGCAAGGCTCTGATTTACCAACAGGGACCCTAACCTGGTGCCTGATGATAGCAGCAGCAGCAGCGAAGTCCGGAACCCTTCACCAACCACTACCTCCTCCTCCTCTCCACCCTCCAAGTCGAGTTTTTATACTCTACTCCATGTCTGTCCACGTCACGGTAAACTCAGACACTGAATGGTCGGAAAGCCGGAAGGATGTTACCGAAAATGGATTCAGGAGATTTGGGGGAAAGTGGTCGACCTCTGATCCCTCTTGGCAGCGGAATCGCGGCAAAGCCATAGATTTCACGAAGGCCGCCAGTCTGTCCTCATTTGTCGCTGTCATAATTTTCTGTCATTCTCCTCTGTTAATAATGAAAGGACACTGTAGAGGAGAAGCAGCAATTAATTTCAACCCCTTCGGACCGTAGCCTGGCGCCTGACTGGGGGGGAGGCGATAAGTCATGGCGGGCGCTACACTATGCATGCAACTAAAAGTTTTCATTCTTTATGATTTGTCATCTACAGTTTATTATTAAGATTTAATGCAATGGTGGAGTCATATGCGAAGGAATCCGTACATCTGCAAATGGAGTTGTGCGTAATGGAACGGGGCAACCACCAAAAAGGTGCCACGGCTGTGAGATACATCAGTTGCATTTGAATTTCTTTTTCGCATTTGACTATATTATATTATTTGTCATAGAAAACCTATAAAGCTACTAAAATTAGGTACTGCTCACAAATGCAAAATCTCATAGCAGTGCACTTTGATGCTACGCTGAGTACTAGGCCTATTGGTCTAGAGGCCCTTGTTCACAAAGGAGTCATGACCTTTCATTTGCCGACATGATTCTCTGCATTGGTCTTTTATCCTCTTCATTTGATTCTAGAGAGGCTACAGGAGGCGTAGAGCAATATCCCCAGAAGAAGGGAAAGGCATTGATATTCAACATAGAAAAATTTCATAGCATTCTTGGCGTTCAAGACCTTCCCAGCTCAGAAGCGGATGTAGTCCGTCTCAGAGATGTTTTGGAAGATTTCGGCTTCACAATCTGTACTGACATCGGCAAGAAAAGTTTCACATTTGCGGAAATCCATCAATGCATTGAAGATGGTAAGGTCATTGGAATCATAGCATAAGGTCTTCAACTAATTCAAGTGCAGTTCCGGGAATAAATGTTTGAATTAAACTTTTGTCAAGAAGGACCCATCCTGTGATCTGAAAATTTTTTATTTACCGCCAAATTTTACCATTCCTCATACTATGCCTGATTTTCGTTTTGGGCTTCGAGCGAAAATGCCGAAGTAGTTATTCTTTGTTTCATTTAATGCCTGAAACTGAAATAACGTATAACAGTTACAAAGAAAGCCTTGCAGTTCTCTGTGGTTGGAACTGTAAATGCGGCAGGAAATGGGACACATTCAGTTAAACAATTACGAGACGCCTCATTCGACCATTCTCTGCATGCTCAAATTATTGTTCTCCTATTATTATTTACCATAGCTTCGCCATTGCATATTTTCAAATGAAGCTCCTTTTTAATTTTCATACTTGGTTTTAGAGCAACGTCTAAGCGAAATAATGTAAAAAGCCAAAATGCAGAAAGACATAATGTTGACAGCATGACAATGAAAGCTGTAACGATAAGGAAGTGTGTGTTGAGAGTAGGAAAGTCAACTGCCAGAAAATATGGAACAGACAGAGCAGGTTTTAAAAAAATTCCTGGATTGATAAACATACAGGGTGGACCATAAGTAAGGGAATATGTTCGAATACGAATATATTAATGAATATTTGGCGCAGGAATATGAGACTACCGCCAAATTAAAACAGATTCTATTTTCATCTGTATAATTAACAATCGACCGTTGTGGCCGCCAGGTTTTCTCTTACAAGATCGTGTATTTCTTGTCCGTCTTTACCACATAAACAAAGAAGCTGGTGAATTTCAAGACTAAGCTAAACGGCTGCAAGAGTGCTTGGGTCAACGTGTTTTGCAAATATTCTTAAGACGACGCTTTCATCTGTCGACTTCAATTCAATGGTAGTCTCGTATTTTTGTGCCTAATAATTAGAGTTATTTGCGTTATATCCTATATCCTTACTTCTGGTCTTCCCTGTTCTTTAGGGATTCATTTGCCAAAACAAGATGTTTATGTTAATTTTACGTAAAATGAATGTAAATTATTGTCCATTTTATATCTTTTTACGCAAACCATCACCAAGATAATGTCAACATGTTTGCAGAAGTGTCACCTCTGTGATACGCAAACGGTGAAATAAAATTAACGTAAACTTTACGTAAAATTGATGCTAATTTCGCCCTAAGATTCATGTGTATTTAACGAGCCAATTCGTGCTTTCCATTCTTTGGAACTCAATATTACTTGGACGAGTACACAAGTACTCATCCTCACCAGCACTGACGAGTACCAAGACGACTCACTAGTTCCTTCTCCCGTACCAGGACCTCGGGGAGAGGAATAGATATTTAGAGGAACTCTCTACCGTTAAGGGTAACACGAACACAAGCGATAACACGAACAGGCTTTTTCTTTTGGGGATAGGCAAAGGACAAGGTATACACTTCTAGACCTATTGATTTGGCCAATTTGAAAGAGAAAGTCATCGTAAAAGTTATCACTACCACCCCTGACATGCTAGCAAAAACCTGTACTGAACTCCCGTCGCATCAGGTTGTGCTATAAACGTGCATGTGTTCATGTTGAGGTGTAACGCTGCAAACAAAAACTTCAGGACCATAGTAAGCATGGTACCAAATTTCAAGTCCCTAACTTAATTGTTTTAGTAAGCATGTTTTAGTAGCTTGTACAATAAGTTATTTTTGCTTACACCTTTTTCGATCATCCTATATATTTCTTCTGGAGAAACCGAGATATATTAAACCGTGAATAGATTAATGCCTTCGTCAAAACATACGTCAAAACGCGTTTTACTTCGATAGTTTCTAGGTCAAATTTCACCACCGAGGAGTGCTTGATGGTTGTATTCATGAGTCATGGAGCTGAGGAACCATTGAGGACACCCGATGGAACTGAAACTATGGGCAAAGAAATACTCTACGCTACTGATGCATGCTTCAAGGTCGATGATCTGTGGCGAAGCTTCACTCCTGAGAAATGCCCCTCATTGAGGGACAAACCCAAACTCTTTTTTATTGATGTCAGTCTTTTACCCTTAATCCTCCTCTCCCTTTGAACTTAGAGGCCTACGAGACAGGAACATTTCCCCCTTGTCATTTCAGGCTTGCCGAGGTAAAACTGTTGACACAGGCTTTCCAACTCGTGGAGGTGACAGTGTCTCACTGGTTCACACCATTCCTCATGATGCAGATTTTCTCATATCTCAGTCAACGTCCACTGGTTAGTATCATTCAAGTGTTGGATTTGTGCTTAGGGGAGAGAGAAAGTAATCTCAGACAAAACCAAGAAGTGCTTGAGTGTAAAGAAAGAGTAAACATTATGTGGGATAGCGCTTCCAAAAGCCAAGAAACAAGCATTCGAGAAATAATCCTTTAGTAGGCACGAACTGATACATCAGTGGAAATGGCTGTCTTCCTTACTGGGTTAAGATTACCACGAACTGCAGGATTTATAATGCAAAATGATCAGGTATGTGTACTAAAATGACCATATTCAACATTCATTTAAACATATATTAGTCCAAAATAGTGAAGAAATATCTCTCAGGACATTCCCTTAAAAAACGTCTCCTACCCCCCCAGGAGATTTGGAATCGGGAGGATATCCCTTTAGGCGGAAATCCGCCTACAATAGGGAAGTCCACATGGTTCCAAATACACTTATCCACCTGGGGAATGCCCAGGTGGATTTCCATCAGATGGAACATTCCCCTGGTTCGAAATCTAACTTCCATCCGTCTGTCATCCAATTGCCGTTCAGCTCCTGTGGATGCAGATGTACTTTTTTTTTAAGGACCTGTTATTTTTCGGATCATATGTCCTGATGAGGAATCGAGCTTCCATTGGTTTTAGATAATGGATTTCGCTATCGATATGGAAATAAATCTAGATTCTGATCTGATCGCTTATACCTTTCAGCGTAATGAGACTTTCCGTATTTTTGGAAGTCAGGAATATCAACATGCATACACCTTTATTCTCTGAAAAGTTCTATAAAGTATTATTCTGCATGCGGGAATTTTCAGCTGAACTGCTCCAAGCAAACCCATCCTCTTTGTGACTGTTCTAGCACAAAGCAAGAGCAACAGCATGAAAACACATTAAACGACCCTATGACTATAATAAACCAGTATCGTTTTCAAGCTAAATGGTCATGATAGCGTCCACCTTTCCAGGCAACCATCAGTGTCAATGACATGTTCTTTCAATTTCTTTCGAATTTTGGTTCTATTTTGTGAAATGGGGAATATGGGTTCAGATTCTCATGATCTTGCATTCGGGTTGCGAAGTTCATAATGCACCAGAGCTAGATAGAAATAATTTGAAGACTTAGGCAGTAATGGTCATTCTGTTCCTTCAAGGGTTAAAAGTAAATACAAAAATCACTATACTTCCTAATATATGGGACAGCCTAAGGCTGTGGTGAAGGCAAAGCAAGGGGTCAGGATCCTCTAATGCAGTGGTGTCAAAAGTTTCAGAGGGGAGGGCCACCTTTGAAGTAAAAGGATGGTGCTAGCCGGAGAGCCGAAAAAGAAAAACATAATGAAATAATCGAATGCACTTGATATTTAACAGAGAGGTTCGAGAGTCTAATAAGTTTTTTCCATGCCAGCCAGATGACGGTACATGCCAATGTATGTTACATTTTAAGCCTAAGACACCAACAATAAACATAAACTATTAGGTATAGCCTAGTGAGATTTTGAAGAATTCCACATCATACGCAGTTTAGCAAAATGCATTTCAGCTGTCTGATCCTGTCTGGACTCTCAAAACCAATCATGGCGGGAAATTTGATTCCTCATATAGTTCTTTGGAACACGAATATTATTGAACACACGTTATATATGCATGTTACGTGAATCATTCCTTGGATCCTTTCATTACATTGCCCTGGAACCAAAAGCCAACAATTTGTTGTTTGCACAGGTCGCCTGGCCACTGCGGATGGTGGATCGCCATACATCTGAACCTTGGTTGAAATTCTAAGGGAGAAGTATGAAGAGATTGACTTGCTGGGAATGCTAACCCTTCTGGGAAACCAGATGGCTAACGAAAACTTCACTTCAGGAAAGCAAATGCCCTCCTTTACTTCCACACTCAGGCGAAGTTTCATCTTCTCACGTCTTACCAATCGCTAATATGCGCCAATCCCTCACACTGCCTTCCATATATGATTGAAATGTCTCGTTCCAGGTAAATTTTGAATGTGAAATGCAATGTGCATATCAGGAGTACATTCTGAAGTCATAGTCGTTTCTTTCCATGACCATAGTCCCATCGCTACCAGCAAAGGATAGGATACCTTCCACTTCAGAAGGAATTGGAAATTGCAGTCCCAGTTGCATGCCAAATGCCTTCATGATTTCGTTGAACATTGATGATTACTCATATTATATCTTCACAATAAAACTTATTCTCAATCTGTCTTGGCATCTCTCATTGTTCTGTTAGGTGCCAGAAACGCATCTTGGGAAAATATGTGGAAAACCGGAAGAGATTTCCCTATTACAGTACTCTCTCTCTTTGCTAGCTTGGCACCTCCTGGCTCGCCTCCCCTAAAAGCTCCAGCTTTGTCCAGAGAATAACTCTACACTTCGTTTAGAACGGCGGGTCTAGTACATGTTCCAACGATGGACCAAGCGATTCAAAAATATCTGAAAGAAAACAATGAAAACAACTGCAGATGAGCTGACTACGTTATCTGTCAACATAGGTTGGGCTAACCAAGCTACCATTAAGAAAGAGAGAAATGTAAAATATTTTTCGCTTCCAGAAAAATTATGGTATATGGAAATTAAAGAGGTTTCTGTACTATCGTCTGATATGACTTCGAACTGTTACCTGTCAGACTTTCCCTTATTACTTACTGTCCACATAAGAAAACAACTTACTGGTTTCCTTCTGCCTTCGATTTCGTTAATCCTAGACATTTAGGGCTGGATAATCTCATACCTTCGTTCCCTGTCAAGAGGCTCATCAAGTCACGTCTTTCAGCACCTAGTACTTTATATCCATTACAACATGAAGACAAACATTTTAAAATAAGTGAGTGCAATTTTATTCGATAGAAATATGAATAATTTTTGAACAACCTGCCAATATACAATGGCAATCAAATTGTCCCACTGTTCCAGAAAAGCGTTGTTTATTATGATTCTCTTCATGCGCACATTGTTAATTCTGTCAATATTAAGTACATATATCCCACACTGTACCCTATCTACTGCAGTAGGCTTACATATGGCAGCTAAGCAGTGGAGTAAGAAAAATCTTGAACAATTAGTACATCTGGTCCCTCGATGCTCTATTTTTTTTAACAAATTGGCAAAGCGGCTATATTGCCAGGTTCGACTAAACTTGAGAAAACTATGAGCATGTGAAACTTTGAAGCAGTTATGACGGCCGCAGTACGTCCAGATGGAGAGTTATAAATATTGCATCAAAAACAGAGTAAAAACTGCGGTTGGGACCATCTGTGGTTCCAAACAAATTATTACAACCATTTTTATTCGAACATGGGTCTGAATCAGGCTTTCGTGGACTCTCTCTCTTTCTAATGACAAGACAACCGATTGACACAAGCGATAACCGACGTATTATGAATCAGGGAGGATGCGGTGCGTGCTTTCCTCAGGCACCACCGAAGGCCCTAGGGCAGCTCCGGAGTTATCAAAGTCCATGACTGGCAAAATTGACTTTTCAGATGTACTGCACATATATCTCCTAGATGCGGCACACAAAATGGGGTGCGTGTGTGTGTCACCCCACCCTAAGCAGACACTCCTCATTAAAGCAGGTGGTTCTCCTACCAGCGGAGTACGTTGACACCCAGTCTCGATTGCTCCCGGTTTTCCCTCGGAAACTGGAACCACTTGGGCACCGAACCAGATTACTTCGATTATCTCATCTCGTATAGCTCTTAGTCTTCATTGACCTCACTAACCCAACCTACTAATACAATGATGGCGGACATCTTGCTCATGGTCATAATCTAGACTGGGGGAGGATCATCTCTGGATGGCCTCGTCCTACATTGCTGAGCTTAGTGTCACCCTTCGACGGAGACGTCGGAGGGTCATCGAAGCAGGTTCAAATTTAATCACCTATGCACATAGCCATTTTTTTCGATTGACATCAACTGATGTAGATGGAATCGAGAGAACTTGAGTCTTGCAACTTCCTGAATCTCAGTCAGTCTCGAATTACGACGTATTGGAAATAAGAAGAGGATACGGTAGAACCATGATAGTAATCATAAAAAATTTTCGCTAGTCTGGAATGGCTTATTATGCACTCTTGAGGGACAGAACATGGAGTGGAAAAATTGTAAGCACCAGGAACAAGAGGGAGAGCAAGAGAGAGTGGGGCACAGACAGCTCTCGTCCGAGAGAGATGAAAACCTATCTCACCAGTTTTTTTCCCTCTCCTTCAAGGCTTGAGTCAGGATGGCATGATACTATTTTTTTCATTTACTCATCATGACGTCTGTGTCGAAGTTGAGCTTTCATATCGGCTACTTTGTCTGCCCTCTGAGCCTTTATGCTCGCCCCCAGGAAATTAGAACACGAGAGCTAAAAATTGTGCGCATATTTTACGCATATTTCGCCCGGAACTTCATTGATGAGGCACTCATTCTGCTGTAGGAGATCCACCCTGGAACTGCCGGCCCAAATGTGACAATGGCATCTAATTAGTTTTGTCTTATTATTGCTGATATTTTCATGAGGAAGATACTATCAGGAGTTTATTTGCATATTAAGTTTGCTAATAATATTTTTATGCAAGAAGAACCGAGAAAATCGGACAGAAAATACCTCGGTTAAATCACAAATGGCTCTCTTTTCTTATAATAATAAAAAAATCTCACTTTTTTTTTAAGAATGTGAAGTAAAGAGGGAAGGGTTTCCCTCCACGCCTTGCGGACGAAAGCGGACGGTTGTGTCCAGATGTCCTCCTTCCCACCAAAAACATTCGGAACTTCTCGAAAGTGCAATTCTCCAGCAAAGGGGAAGGTTTCACTTGTCGCGTCATGTTCTTCGATTTTAAGTTATAACAATGGCTTATAGGACTCTGCATCTGGTCTATCCAATGCACTTATTGTTCATCCATTCCAGCCAAGCTAATTTTTTAATTCCCGAAGGGGTAATTATGGAGTTTATTGGGTTCACCCATCTTCGTTTCTTCAAGCCGGGTCGAGCGCGACGCTCTTTATAGGCTAATATACTATTCTGCTACCGGAATAATTACGGTGGACGTTACCTTGGTGAGAATTGCATGGCAGCCGACGATCAATCGGCTCACCGGCTTCTATGAACGCTACGATATCGAGCGACGCTGTCGTAGAGACTCGTGCGCGATGGCAAAGCAAGCGAAAGCTTAATAGTTCTCGCCCCAACACACACTGCAATTAATGCACGGTACCGCTTACTGTGAATTGAAACTATATGAGAGCTTCCAATGTGATCAGTTTCATGTCGCTGTGGCTTTGCCGTGTCTTTGGTTGGTGTTTTCGTGTTTTGGCTACGGTGAGGCTCTCATTCTACATCTCACTCATTTCTTCTTTTTAAAGTGATGTGAACTGCTAAGGAATATTCCACGGCAGCATTCTCATGTCTGTCTGCCTACCTGTGTGGATCACGGCAGAAGAAAGATAAAATATTTTTGTTTATTTTTATAAGCCTGCTTTGAAAGTGAGAAGTTGTGCACTTGCGTATAACGTTCGTATGTACGGGACCTTCCCAAAAGGTTTCAAAGGAAAGGTTTTTAGTAAAAAAAAATCTTTATTTCTTAAACCATTTCAGATTTCTTCTTTTTATGCGACACGCTCTGTAGATGACGTCACGATATCTGCTGGAGGTTTCACGAGAGTCGGTCATGAAAATGCCTTTCTTTCGATTTTTTATGAATCAGCAGTCGAATCTCACATCGGGGTCGGAACAAGAATTATATTCCACCTCAGATCGTCTGTTGAGGTTAAGGAAGTACGTGTAGCCACCCTGACGAAGAAACCAATTGCAATGGGGTGTCCTTAGTGAGACAATGAATAGTTCCCCTACATGATAGATGTACAAGGCTTTAGTTTTAAGGGAATCGTCTTTAGTTGCATTCGTCTTTTTTTTTTCTTCATTAAGATTCATGTTGCCCGCAAAATAAATTTAACAGAAGAATTAATAAGGATAAGCTACTGAACGACATCGCCTTGCCTCTGATGGGCATGGAAAAGGACCAGCAGCACTGGAATGGATTGAGGAGCATGATTTCAGCTCCACCATCTCCTCAACCCGAGCAGCGAGACTTGTAAAAATTTCAAAATCGGAAAATATATTCACTTCACTGTTCGCTATCTGAGGCATTCACATTCATAGTTCTTTCATTGCAGTCACAGTGTCGTTTTTACATTAATAAGAAAAAGGCGCTCTATGCTGGCGTATGAATACATCTGTGCAGTGGCCTCCGGCCCATCCACGATTTTAACACGGTAGATGATACTGGGAGCACGCAGGGGACCTTCCTAAAGATCGGGATCTCGGTTCGAATGCGCCAAGCGGTGTGCTTGGATTCCTCTAAAGCGCCAGTGTTTAAATAACAAGTGTTTTATATCCTCACGCAGAAGAGCGGACCTACGCAAGTGAATGCACTGGCGTGAAAGTTACTCTCGCAAGACGGCCAGACAGGGTTTTCGTACATTCGCATGAGGATAGAGGTAAACCCCATTTTGTGAAAGTTCTGAAACGAACAAGTGCTCTATGAAGACACCCTATCACGCGAGTAAGTGTAAGTGTAAGTAAGTAAGTGTACTCGCTCATGGAACCTCCCCTTGAGACGTTGAAGGACTACTGCAATGATGACTTGTGTGTACGTGCGTGTGCCTGTGTGTTTGGGTGTGTAAGCCAAGTAGATGATCGACTAAGAAAACCAGGCAGTCGCCAGAGACGAAATTATGTTTTGACCAGCTTGTCATGAGTTAAGTACGTGTATTGTGTGGTTTTGAGGGCCCAGCTGCTGAGCTTGAGCTATCAGAGCTCAAATTATCTATCCGTCATTTCCAGCATCCTCCTCTGTACCGACGCATACCCATCGTAGAGGCGAAGCTCTTGCCAAGAGAACTATGTTCTTTCGCCATTTCTCCATTAGCGTGAGTGTGGGTGATCCCCCTCCCCCCTCCTTCTCGCTTACCACATGGTTTCCAACTCGTTTAGCAGTAACATGATACCATCATTCCCGGTTTAATGTGATAATGTATGAGAATTGTATATATTCAAGCAAAATGATAGCGCAACGACCCCTTTGTACAGATACTTAGCTTTCAGTTCACGCACTCTAAATGGATGGAAGGCGCCATCGGT